TCACAACTCAGCAAGTTTTAATATCGGGGAGCAAGGTTCCCGCCTATTTACCAGACACAGTGGGTAAGAGTTTATTCTCTGAGAAAGAGCGTAAGTGGACAGCCGCTGGAACAGATGCCAAGTTCCACAGGGTGTGGCATTGCCAGTAGAATCCCTTTTCACATTCCTTTCTCTGTCATCAGTACTGGATGGTATGTTCTGTCAATGGCCAACATTTTTCTAGTTTCATAGCTTTTGCTAATTTCAGTCAAGGAAAAATGCCTGTTACACTGCTGATTCAGCATGCACTGGGGTAAATCTTCATTCCACTCTCCCTGCCTCCTCCCTTCATTTCCTGGTTGTGTGTGTATGTTTTCCGAACACCAACATCAATTAATAATACACTTGGAAGCCTATAAGAAAAACACCTCGTCTAGAAATTTGAGCAAAATATGATCCATTTTTCTTAGTGTATAAGAATTGGTCCCTGTTTCTCCTCTATTTGAGAAGGATGCACTTCAAACTTTAGAGCACTGAGTTTGTTGCCCTGATGTGTGGAGAATGAAATGCAGCCTCTTCCTCATTTCTAGAAGCAGCTGAATTTAATCTGCCTCAGAACTAAAACTTTACCTCCCAGTTTCCTCACATGCCAGAGTGGCATTGTGACATGTGACTGTCTAGACCAGCCCTGCAGATGTGTCTGTCATCAGGAATGGAGATTTCCTGCCAGGATATAGTAATGTGCTTCCCAATGCTGCTGACAGCAGGGGCCCCAGACCCACTGGCTCCGGGGGGTAATTTTTAAACGTTTTTTTTCCAATTTAAAGAGAAAATCAAAGCAGCCCCATCTGTCATATGAATCTGCCATGCCAGGGAGATGAGTGTGATCAGTGGCCTGGATCTTGTTTAGCCCACTTAGTGACGGTGTCCCACACCCTCCCATGTGTGTCTTTTATAGCTTTGATCAAGAGCTGAGCATTTGTGCTTGGGGAGGTGAGGAATGCAATGAGGGGGGATGCTTTGAGGTGTGAATATTTCCATTTCCTATTCATTTCACATTCGGATTTGGCTAGATCTGGACGAACACATAGTATGGTGTCTCAGAAATGGTATTTTCCTCACAAGCCCTGCTAAGCAAAGCTATTCCTTTGCATCAAGCCCCAGACAACTAGGTGTGTAATTGTTGACGTGCTTAAGTAAAGGGTTTTGGAGAAGGAAAAAGACTCTAGGGACAGAAAATGTGTTCATCTCCACACAGTGAGCTGGATGACGTAGCAGCCAAGAGATTCTCATGGTCTCTCATGGGAAGTTGTGGAAATAGTTCAGGGATCTGCTGTTCCCGGGCTTCGTACCCTCAACCAACCACGATTCACTGCATGCCCAAGCCGGACTGTAGCCATGACCCAGCCCTAGAGATAACCAAGGCCAAGCGCCTCCAATCTAGAATGGGTTCCAGTTGGGGCTTGCGGTGCTCAGAGGCCCAGCACGTGCTAGAATGTGCATGTGTGCAAATCCTGAAGAGGATGCCTTGCCCAAGACTCATTAGAAAACTGTGATATTCCACTTGCTCCCCTGAAAGATGATAAGAAAACTTCTCTCAAGACATTTCTAAAGGATTCAGGCACATACTAAGAATTGTTGAACATCAGTTTTTTCCCTATACTTTGAGTTCTCTTGATCTGGTGTTAAAATGTGTTATCGCTCATACTTTATCACTGCCCGACCAAGTAGTTAAATTTGCCAAGGCAGTCACTAATTGTGTGCGTGTTACTTGAGATGAAGTCCATGAAGATATCTTCCTCTCTTTCCTGAGCTAGAGTTTCCCTCCATCTATTTAAAAATTCCAAACGATCTTGAAACAATATGTAAAAACCTCTGGAGACTGCACTTTGATTGCTCTTAATATACTGCACAATTCTTTGCCCAATTGACAGCTCCTTTTAAGTTTTGCTAACACTAAAATTTATATCAATCATTCTGATACTGTCTTTGAAAATCTTCATTTATTTCCAGATGTTCAGTAGGGACTTAGTGGTTTTGCCTATGAGAAAAAACTGTAATCTCCATTTTTTTGGTGCTTCGAAATTTATGAACAGTTCCATACATTATCTCATTTTTTATGTGTCAACACAGAGGCAGGCAAACAGGAATTATCCCCATGTGACATATGTGGAAACTGAGGTTTGCCCAAAATTGCTAAGCTGGAAAATAACTGGTACAATCAGGACTTGAGCCCCGGCTGCTGCCTCCCAAGCCCACGTTCTTTCTGTTCCTCTGTACTCACTTCACCCTTCACCCTGACCAAGTGTGAGAGCAGATGTGTGCAACAGGAGAGGCGGCATGGATGGATTAGGATGGACCCATCCATGCTCCCCAAAAAATAACTCAAAGTGGCCTGTCCTGGTGAGGATGGGACTGGAGCACATCTTCAAATACAAAAGAAAGTACATTTAATGCACAAGTTATGTTTTGATAACTGACCAAAGCTGTCTTGAAGTTTGGAATGTTAATGTGTTAGAGAAAGTAAAGCAGCAAAGGACAATGAGTTCTAGAATCTTAAAAATGTGTAGCTGCAGGAGAAGGGAGGGGAAAGAAGATGCGGCAAGTCCTAGAGGCCCCACTCGGTTACTCTCCTCTGCTCCCCTTTACCAGCCTGGGTCAAGTCAGAAGCCTTCCTTAGGAGCCACTTGGGAGCCCCCAGACCCAGCCTGTAGTTTGCTTTCTTGATGCCTTTGGATATACTCTTTCTAAAATCAATCCCAAATATCTTTTCCTGTAAAATAAATCTTGCTTGTCTAGTTAGTTTCAGGTCACTCACCACCTTTTCCGGGAAGCTGTTTCTAAGCATTTCACAGGAGCAAAGGTCTGTTTCTGCTCTGCACTCTGCTCACATTTGGTCTCTTCCTTTTGCAATGCTAGATGGTGAGAGCTTGGAGAGTAGAAACCAGCTCATTTCTTGGTGGATGAGGTTTGGTCTAGGGAAGAGCATAGGAACAAGGGCCAGACAGCCCTGGGATGGCCCCATGTCAGGCGACAGATCCGGGATCTCCAGTCTCAGCAGGGCTTCCCTACAGCCAGATGTTGGAGAGGAGCGTGCTCAGCCATCTCTGGATTTGGTTTTACAAAATGAGAACATGAATGAATTTATTTTTAATATCCACTCGTGATCACAACTTTTGCTTGGATGTAAAATATTGACCAAGTCTCCCTTTCAGATGTACAACAAATGTGTATAAAAAGTCACGAAAGAAAATGACCTCAGCTCTTGAAACTTGTAAACATCTCAGCAGTCTTGCTCTTGCAGGGAAATCTTTAATTCTTCTTTTTCAGACAAAGCACAAATGACAACCATTTGTGTTCTCTTTGTTTGAAGTTGTGTGTTTTGAGTCAAGGACCTATTTCCAGGTTCAGCTGTTTCTGTAGTGAAATTAATGTTTCTCATGAAATGGTTTCATGCAAAAGTGTTGGGGGGTCTGTTTGTTGTCTCTGGAATGCTTCTGCACAAGGAGAATTTGGGGAAGGGGTAACCATAATCCTATCTATCTGGTGGTTCAGGTCTTTTCTGGCCTTACACTTCCTTTGTGCAATTCTGGAAGAGAATCGTGTGTGCTCACATGCACACACATGCTTGCGCACATACATGCACCTTTGACAATGAAAGAAAGCCTTAGAAGTTCACACTCTGGCCTTGGTGCATTTCTTTAGTTTTGTATGTTACAGAAGGAAACAAAGTAGAGGAAAACTCCCCTAATCTGTGGTCCAGGCCAGTGTGGCTGTCACCTTGTGTGACTGCCCTAAAAGTGTCCATCCAGTCCTGGGGCCTGCAAACCTGCATCTCTGAGTTTTGACAGAGCTGCGTTTAGAATATGAAGCTATCCCTTCTAAAGCTTTCCTCTCTAGATCTTCTAAATAATTCTCCTAGAAGCAGGCAAGAGCCTGGGACCATGAAATGCATTGAAAGCTCGGTAACCCCAGAGCAAATGGAGAACCAGGAGCCCATGTGCTCGGTGGGTCCTGTGAGGAGGACTAAAGGAGAGTTTAGAAGTCAGACGGCCGTGGGGCTGACCCAGCTTGGACTGGGAATATGGCCTCGGGGAGTGGTAACTGCAGATGAGTCTATGTGGGTGCAGAGAGGTAAAGATGAGAACTGCAAAGGAGCTGAGAGAGTTGCAGGAGAGGCCCAGTGTTTAATGTGCACCGTGGAGCTTCACTACTGAGTTCCAATCTGGCAATGCCATCTACCAGCTGTCACTTAACCACTCTGTGCTTCTGTTTCCTCATCGGTAATATGGAGATGACAATAATACCTCTTATAGGGTGGTGTGAGTGTTTTAGTGAATTGATGTGTAAGTGCTTAGGACAGCACCTGGTACAGAGCAAGCAATAGAGGACTGTTAGCTATTATTATTACTATTATCATTACTACACTATCGTCATCATCATCATCATCATCATCATTACTATAATACTATTCATCAAGACCAGGTCTTGAGTAGAGATATAGTAGTAGCTACTAAATTCAAATAGTACCTAGTAGCATCCTCACTTGGTTCTCTCATTTTTGATCCCCAGAGATACATTTTTTCAGTCTCTAGTGAGTGAAAAAGTACCTGTCTGTAAGTATGATTACTTTATACCTCTAAAATGTTTTGATGATAACATTTTGATGATGGGTTCAGATAAAGCCGTTCTTCCGGAAGGCCTGCAACACTCTCAGGGTGCTGGCTCTGTTTTTCAGTTCCTTAGTGCCCTGGGATATGTTCTACCAACTGTTCAGCTACTATTTTTGGTCTTCAATTTAGAATCTTAATTATGTCCTACAGCATTCATCGTGTGTGAATGTACAGAGCTCCCATAAAGAATATTGAGACACGTTCCAGGCTCAGAGGTGTTGAGGGGAGATGGGGGCATGCGGTGGACAGTGCCCTGGCTGATTCCTTTTGCTCTGAGCTGGGAGTGGGTGCATCTAGGTGCGAGCAAACAGCGATGGTGTGTCACGTTGCTTGTCATTTCCTTCTTAGATGACTATGCCCAGCTGTGTAACATCCCCGTCTCGGGACGCCGGCAGCCATATGGACGGGATGCTTTGGTCGACTTCAGTGAGCAGTATGCTCCAGAAGCTGATCCCTACTTCATTCAGGACCGTAAGCAACATTTTTTGGTTACTTTGAAACTAAATTGTGATTAAAGGTTAGTCAGCGGTCCTCAAAACGTAGTGTGGGAAACTTGTTAGAAATACCGATTTTCAGGCCACACTCTAGACCTGCTGAATCAGAAACTCTGGGGTGAGACCCAGCAATCTGTTTCACCAGCCCTCTGGATAATCTTTATGCATGTTTAAGTTTGAGAACCATTGGATCAGATTATTAGTCTCGCTGGTAGAGATGCTGTTATGTTTACTATCCTTAAAGAAAATTATCTTCTTATAGTTTCCATAACAAAATCATTTTTTAATCCATTCAGTGGTGGTCTAGTTTGAGGGCTAGGGTTTTCTTGAAAGCCTGGTTTGAACTGTAGTCTTTTTTCATACAAGGAAATGACAAATGTTAACTGTACTGAGTTGATCCTTACAAGTATTTTAGAGTGGGAGGTCAAAAAAATTGCTCTCCTGGGCCGGCCCCGTGGTGTAGCGGTTAAGTGCACGCTCCGCTGCTGGCAGCCCGGGTTCGGATCCCGGGCACGCACCAATGCACCACTTGTCAGGCCATGCTGTGGTGGCATCCCGTATAAAGTAGAGGAAGATGGGCATGGATGTTAGCCCAGGGCCAGTCTTCCTCAGCGGGAAAACAAAAAAAAAGAGGAGGATTGGCATGGATGTTAGCTCAGAGCTGATCTTCCTCACACACACACATACACACACAAAATTGCTCTCCTGGACAGAAATTAATTTTTAGAACCCACTCGGGAGGGGACTTAATAAGTAAAAAATGTGTGTGGGCTTTTCCTGGATTCGTGAGCAGAGTTCACCTGTGGGAGGTGGAGTGTGCATGCACAAATCGTGTTCCCATTTAGAAAGTAAATGTCTGAGGAAGCCACACGGGCTAGAGGTTTTTATGGGGGAAACCAGAGCTTTCAAATACAGACTAATTATGTGGAGTCTGAAAAACAGGATGGTACAAAATGAAATATTAGTAGAGAATAGGTTGTGTCCCCTCAAGCACAGGAATAGGGACGCACAGAGTCCAGACGCCTCGTCCCCATCTTACAGAGGGCCCCTCCTGGCAGCATAAAGCTGCAGCAGGTTTTCAAGACAAGGAGTCCCTGTGGGCCAGGGAGTGGAGGTTAGGACTTCGGAGACGCTGCTGAATTACAAAATACAACGGAGCTTTTTCTTTCTTTGGGCCCTGACACCTGTGCACAAAGCAAACTCGCCATGACCTGGTTCCTGAGGAGCAACTCAAGCTTCGTGATTGCATTTGGATCTACTTCAGTTCTGAGTTGAAGAGTTTTTTCTTCCTTCCCTTTTCCTTTCTCCTTCTCCTTCCCTTTCTCTCCCTCCCACCCTCCTTCATTCCTTCCTTCCTGTTGTTTTTTGAAGGATGCAGTGTGTTTTCCTCCAGCAGAATTGAGTGCTTTAAAATTCACGTGAAAACAGCATTCTATTAATCCAGCCAAGTTGATTAACACACCTGCGTAACCCCCACCCAGGTCTAGAACATTGTCAGCACCCAGAATGCCTCTGGTGCCCTTTCCCAGTCCCCTCCAGCCCCAAGGGTAACCACTCTCGTGACTTTCTAACACCTTAGATTATTCCTTTTAATCAACAACACATACCCATGCACTACTTCATGAAATGTGCCTAAATGCACTGACAACTATGAGACTGTGTGCTTATGATTTTCTCCACTTCTCCGTGTGTATGTTATAGGTCAATAAACATTTACCTTAAAAAAAATAATGAAAAGAAGGGAGAAGAAATGTTAAGGCTGAGAGAAAGCCCTGTTTGCCTGCCCTATAAATCCAAAGAGCAGGTTACGTCTGTGTGCGGCTCTGACACAGTCTCATGGCTTATGTGTGTGTCCTCCATCGCATTATGGTTCAGATTCCAGGAACTTTAATGTTGAAATGTTCTGGCTTATGTACCTTCTTTTGTAATGCTGACATTACTTTAAAAATTTTTTAATTCGCTACAAATGTTAAGAAATAAACATGTTGGTGTCACATCAATTTCCTCTTTAGCAACATACGAAGTTGAGAGGCAGTTCCAAGACCTCCAGCTTTGACTATGTAATAGCCTTTAAATTTCTTACAAGTTACAGAGAAATAGCTCCTCCTTCCCAGATCAGGAGCAAGGGCCTTCTGGCTCTGCTGTAGAAATGATCATATTGGGTTGATAGTAACATAGAGGGAAGGCTGAGGTTTCTTACCACCTTTCTGATTCACCATCACTTGCCTTCTGGTTATTTGAGAAAGTTGAGCTAATGGCTGGTAGTACCTTTAGTTAGAGCAGTATTTCTAAAATTGGAATCTTTTTCCAGAGATCAACTTTTTCTTGTAAAGGACCGGATAGTAAAAGTTTTAGGCTTTGCAGACCTAGTCTCTGTTGCAGCCACTCAACTCTGTCATGGTACCAGGAAAGCAGCCACAGACAATACGTCAGGTCAGCGAATGGGTGGGGCTGTGTTCCAGTAAAACTTTATTTACAAAATAGGCAGCAGGCCAGATTGGAGCAAGGGCTGCAGTTTCCTGACCGCTGTTTTAGAGTCCTCTAGAAGGGTTTTGGGGAGAGATTCAAAATTTCAGTTCGTATTTTAATTTCTGTGATAAAAAAAATAGTTTTACTAGTTATAAAGTCAAAATGATTTGGCCGTGATACATGGAATTTGAAAATATTTTCATAGATTAAGACTTTATTTTCTTAAGTCAGTATTTCTTGAACTAGCTTTGGGGATCTGGTGACATGGTCTTGATGGCCTGTAATATTTTTTCCCCCTTTAAAATTTTAAAAAGAGCCTGTCGTGGATGTATTACTCAATTTTTAAAATGACTGAGTTAGACCTTATAGCCCTGCATAAGCCATGATATGTTGGTGCCCCCTGCAGTCCCACTGGAGAATTACTTCAAAGCCAGATGGAGAGTTCTGGCCCTATTTTGATTTTTTTTTTTTTTTTTTAAAGCTCGTATGTGGTGAGGTTTGGAAGGGGGGGAGGGGATGAGAGGCCACATCAGCAGTGTTTTTGGGTCACCATGGATTTATATTTACAACTTTCCTCCCTAGAAAGAGAGCTAAACACTCTTGATGCCTGGTTAAATTGTTTTTCTATTACTGGACTCTAGCTCTGAATCAGTTTAAAGATGTCTAAACTATAAAAAGAGCCTAACAAGAGCTTCTTTGTTTCCTTAAAAAAAGACTTTCAGTTTTCTAAACACTAGTGTGATGTATTTTTCTCATTTATCAAGATGTTTTGAGTCTCTTTTACTGCCTTTATCCTTTGATCCCCAGAGCCCTTTCGTAAGGTTCCTTCCACAGCCAGAGCAAACAAACAGGCTTCACACGGCAGGGCAGCCTGGCTTTCTCAGCTCTGGGGAACTCCAGAGAAAAAGCACCGCCTCAAAGCCCCATGGATCTTCTGAGCAAATGTCTACGGAACTCGGATAGCGAATGCCACTGCTTCTATCCTGAAAGATGTTCTGACATTTGCCCTACTGAGAACTCAGGAAATTTGGAATTCTAGATACAAACTTTTAATAATTAAGGGCAAAACAACCATACTTGCTTTATCATTTTATGTGATTTTAATAAAGAACATCAGAATTCAAGATGTGGTGCTAATCTGTACAACATACACAACGTTTTTAATATATTTAATATTGTGTACAGATATATTCCATGTTAAATTTTAATGCTAACTTTAAGGTGTCTGGACTATGTATATATGATGAACCATAACCTTAATAATCATAGAGTTTCAAAAAATGATGTAAGAGGTTGAAATTTCTAACTTGGTGCCTGTTCTTTCCTTTCCAGGGTTTTTAAATAGCTTTGAGGAGCTGCAGGCTGAAGAATGCGGCATCCTCAACGGATGTGAAAATGGCCGCTGTGTGAGGGTGCAGGAAGGTTACACCTGCGATTGCTTTGATGGGTACCACTTGGATATGGCCAAGATGACCTGTGTCGGTAAGAATGATGTGTGTCCCGTGGGAAATTATTCTTTTCCTGAGATCCTCTGTGGCCAGATCTCATAAAGTGAAGTACATTTAAGGTAGATTTGCCGAGTTTGAGTTTGGGAAGAGGAGGAAAGTTCTGGAAATGGGGGTAGTGATGGTTGCACAATGTGAATATACTTAGGGCTACTGGACTATCCGCTTAAAAATGATTAAAATGATCGATTTTTATGTTCTATTTTACCACAATTTAAAAAAAAGAGTTGATATCTCGTTTAAAAATTTGTATGGTGATACATATGGAGGAAAGGCCAGAATGGACTCTTTTAAATTTAGCTTGTGTCTATGCAGCAAGTAATGTTTTCCCTGAATACCTGACACAAGCATAAGGGAGTGTAGATGTCTGAAAAAAATACAGCTTCCATGGTAATCATTTTGGAGAAAGTTGTTCCTAAAACTTTCTCTCGCATTGCCTTCCCTCTTATTTTTAAAAGGACGGCGAACATACATTTATCCTTCCCTATGTGATCAGTGTTGTCTTCCAGGGCCAGTTGGCCTCTATGCTAAAAGGCCCTTGACTTGAAGTGGGTTTTTTTTTTCTTTTTTGGTGAGGAAGAGTGGCCCTGAGCTAGCATCTGTTGCCAATCTTCCTCTTTTTGCTTGAGGAAACTGGTCCCTGAGCTAACATCTGTGCCAGTCTTCCTCTAGTTTGTGAGTGGGATGCCACCACAGCATGGCTTGATGAGCAGCATGTAGGTCTGCACCCGGGATCTGAACCCACGAACCCCAGGCTGCTGAAGTGGAGTACGCAAACCTAACCACTACGCCACCAGGCCAGCCCCCAACGTGTTTTCTTTCTATATTTTTGTGGCTCTTCTGCTCTCCTGTAGCAGCCCCTTTTCCCACTTAAGTTTTGTTAGTCTCGTTGTCTGGTGGGTCTGGAAAATAGGTAACCTGGGGTATTACAGGTGTTTCCAGTGCATAAGAGCCTTTCCTTTCTGTGGAAAGAAATCGAACAAGGTAACTGAAGCCTTTAGAGAAGCTGCTCAGAGGGCGCTCTGCTCACTCCTTTGGTTCTTAGCTGTGTTCCTCTTGACACATCTAACAGTTCTTCTATACCTGTGCAAGGGAATTTAGGAGTAGGATGGTTCTTCCAGCTTTCCTGAGGTTTTGACTATAAAATGTCAAGCTGACAGAATGTTTATGTTGTGTTAAATAGCAGAGAAAGAAATTCTAGAACTTCCCTGATAATCTACCTTTCTAAGAACTAGAAAGTTTTATTTATCTTGCATGTGATTGAAACAGACAAGAATGGGAAAGACTGTACAGTTTACTGGGGGGAGAGCAGAGAACAGCCGGGCCGTGCTCAGGCCAGATGCCTGGATGCCTCAGGTGAGCTATAGGTTACGTTTCCTCGATAGCAAAGCTTATTTACCTGCATGGTTTGGCTTATTGCAGATGTCAACGAATGTGACGAGTTGAACAACCGGATGTCTCTCTGCAAGAACGCCAAGTGTATCAACACTGAAGGTTCCTACAAGTGTTTGTGTCTGCCAGGCTATGTCCCTTCTGACAAGCCCAACTACTGCACTCCGTTGAATACCGCCTTGAATTTAGAAAAAGACAGTGACCTGGAGTAAAAGAGAATCTACATAATCGAAGCCCATATACCCTGCACTGTGTAAAGGAAAAGAGAGAAATGTATTATACTTGAGATATTGCACCTAAACCTGGAATGTTGGCAGTATGGAAACATCATGGCATTGCATGTCCTCAGAAGAGAATGAGAGGATTCAGTGTGAGCCTGACTGGTGTGACAGACCAAATGGACATTTCTCTGAAAAACCAGTATATATAGTCTGTTCATATGTAAAATTCAGTGGAAAAGAGGCGGAACAGTGCTATTATTTTAAACAGAAGGTTGTATTATTATGTCGTTTTGTTTTTTACTATTGCTTGATTAATTTTGGCATTTAAATAGTGGTGGAAATATTTTATATAATTTTCATTTTTTTGTTGTGCAGTTCCTTGGCTACTGTTTTTCTTCAGATTTTTTTTTTTTTTAAATCTCAAGTGCAAAAGTCTTTGATGAAATATTGTTAAACTGTATTATAAGTGTTGTTACACAGGGTTATGCTATTCCTGGTCTGGAGCATTTTTAAAATCCAAATTGTCTGTCCTGTGGAGCAGGCAGTGATTTTTGTTTCAAAACTTTTATACACATTTGGAGAAAAGTACTTTATATTTACGGTGTATTGTCTGATTTTAATGTCCATTCTTAGCCAAGCTGCTATTAGGTGTCAATTGGATCCCTTTCCTACATTAAAATGGAAGAACTAATGAGCTTACATTAGTATTGTAATGTGTAAAGTAAACCCAGCAAAATTTTTTGAAAACTTGATGATCCCAATATATTTACCATTGTATGTTAAAGCAAAATAAATCACCATTTTTTTAGAAAAAAATTCTGAGTGACTGTTAATGAGTCCATGTGTACAAGTTGTCTCCCCCCGCCCTTTATTTTTATCAATGGTTCTCTATTAATGTAGGGTCTTGTACAGGTTAATTATTAAATTTGTTAGATACTGTAATGGACTGAATTGTGTCCCCCCCAAATTCATATGTTGGAGTCTTAACTCCCCAGTGACCTCAGAATGTCACTATATTTGCAGACAAGGTCTTTAAAGAGGTAATTAAGGTAATAAATGAGGTCATTGGGGTGGGCCCTAATCGAATATGACTGGTGTCCTTATAAGAAGAGGAGATTAGGACACAGACACACAGAGGAAAGAATGTGTGAAGACATAGTGAGAAGACAGCCCTCTGCAAGCCGGAGAGAGGCCTCAGAAGAAATCAGCCCTGCAACACTTTGATCTCGAATTTCTAGCCCCCAGTATTATAAGAAAATTTGTTGCCTAAGCCACCTATCTGTGGTACTTTGTCATGGTAGCCCTAGCAAACTAATACAGACATACATCACAGGAAAAATGAATAATAGCTTTCAAAGTTCTAGTCCCTGCTTAATACACATCTACAGTCATGCAATCGTTTTATAACTTAAACTGAATTTCAGAATCCATTTTTACATTTATTATTTAAATTATTATTATTTAAATACATCTGAGTTAAACAAACAAGCAAAAAACTATGTATAGGCATACCCAGCAGAAAATCTCCCCATTTAACATTTTCCTGAAAGACAGGCTTTTGGTTTTTAATACTTTTGTATGCAGAATAATGGCACATCAAAGATGTCCATGTCCTAATCCCTAGAGCCTATGAATTTGTTACCATATGTGGCAAATGGGAATTCAGATTACAGATGGAATTACGGTTGCTAATCAGCTGGCCTTAATAAGGAGATTATCCAGGTGGGCCCAATATAATCACAGGCCATAAGAGTAGAAGAGGCGGGCAGAAGAGGAAAGTCAGGGGGAGATGTGAAAAGGGAAGAAGTCAGATGCCAGGTGAGAAAGACTCTACTCCCCACTGCTGGCTTTGAAGACAGGAAGAGTGGAGGGGGCATGAGCCAAGGAATGTGGTAGCCTCTAGAAGCTGGAAAAGGCAAAGTGCCATTATTCTCCCCTAGAGCCTCCAAAAAGGAACACAACCCTGCTGACTCCCTGATTTCAGACCAGTGACATTTGTGTCAACTTCTAACCTATAGAACCGTAAATTAACAAATGTGTTGTGTGAAGCCACCAAATAGGTGGTAATTTGTTGCAGCAGCAATAGAAAGCTAAAACAATACCCAAGCATCATAAAATGTACCTCTCTCTCACATTTTTCAACTGTTTATATATAGGAGAAACTTATATCCCCAAAACTCAACTCGGCATTTTCAATGATGTGTTGGCACAGTCTTGTTATATTCCAAATATAACAGCTGGATCACCATAAATGTTTGAAAAGCACAAAGGCTATCACAAAGTGGAAGTGCACTGGTATATCGCTGGTACCAAGAGGCCCCCAGGTCATACTCAGTGTGACCAGCCACCAGCTCATGTGCTTGTCCTGAATGCATTTCCACAGTGCTTTCCATGTCTGTATAGCCCTTATTTTTACCTAGTGTTGTGCAAGTCCCCCCAAAAATAGAGCAAGTGTCAAAAACTGAAAAGGAAACTATGTGAGTGTGTGACTTGAGCAATTACAATGGAGGAGAAGATATTACTGTGCACAAAGCAACTTGGTAAACCTCACTAACGATCAAGAAGAGATGTTTTAAGCATCTTATATTCCAACATGGTTTTGCTGTGTTCTAGTCGTATTTTCAGGGAATTGGTTGGGGGACTTTGAGTATCATAGATCCTCTCATCATTTTACACTGAACATTTAATTTTTACAAATTATTGATGTTAAGCAGGAGATGCCTGTATATGTAATGAAAATTCATAGCTTTAAATGTGACTTCCTATATTTTGTGTAATTTTGTTGCATACATTTTCTTTCACAGCCCTGGAAAAAGAAATTTTGTTTTTGTAATGTATGCAATTCCTTTCGCTCCTTTCAGTAGTTTACTTCAATTTTACCTTTAATACCCCAGTTGTCCTCCAAACTACAGGTTTGGGCTTCTGTGGCAGTGGTGCTAATTCGTTCGCCATGGGGAGACAGGCACATAGTGCAGTGCGTTCTAGTCATTCATTATACTAATTATATCTAATCAATTATTCATGTATTTTCCAGCTGCCTGAATAAGAGCCTAGTCTCTTCCTCTGTCCATCCACAGAATGGGTTTCTGTATCTCGAAATACCAACAGTCAATAACATTCTATCCTTTTTGTCATAAAAATCAAGTATTGCTCCAAAAAAACTAGACCTTGCTATCTGATTTAAGCCTACGTAATTTGAAGTTATATCCTTGAAATCTGCCATGTTAGTTGAAATGAGCGCTAGGCACAAATCCAGCAAACCAAACCCTTAAATATATCAAAGTTATTTTGCACCATTTCATCATTTATATTTCTCTAAAAAATGTTTATAGGTTAAAAAAATACCTTGATTTAGCTTTAGCATTTTCACACGCAAAGGACTTGTATTTGAATTCTCCTGGTAAATCTCAATGTCCCCAGCTTGGCAGCAATGACAAATCTGACATGCTTAAGAAATGAGATTCACAAAACATTTCATTTGGGTCAACAAACTGCAAGGAAACAGTTAACATGCATGTCAATACCACACGTCCCTTCTTGTGGGGACAAACCATAACCCTGAATTTAGGAATTGTTCTAATAACTTGCAGCATTAAAATATGATGATTCTAATACTGTCTTTGACTTTCAAATAAGAGTGATTTAAGTACGTACTAGAGCACCATGATTTACTGCTCAAATCTTTGGTAAGAAGAAAGATGGCTGTCACAGATCAATCTCAAAGTGACGGGTAATCGCAATTAAGAGAAAAAAAGAATAAGGAAGGTACCATCTGCAGAGTGCAGGAATAAATCACGGTCTGATAAGACAGGACACACTTCTCAGGGAAAAGAGCTCCCTAATTGAGGATAAAACATTTGTAATCATCACAGGAATGTGAGCTTCCTCTAAACTGCTTTCACCTGTCTTTGAGAAGGTAAGATGGCCATCACTAGAGGAAGAACAGTTATCTTCCAAGTCATTTGTGAAGAGAATTTTTGTTTTTATAGATGACTCTGAGTATAACTAGAACAGGCTATGCTTTCTTGTTGTGATCAGAAACAGGATATTCAACAGGACACTGGTAGTCTATCATGTTGCCCTCCCCACCCCACCCCACCCCCACTCCCCAACATACACGCATACATAAGAATTCACTGAAGCCTGCATAAGAATCTGAATTTTTCTGGAGAAAATCTTCTGGGGTCAGGCACACTCAAAGTATAGTCCTCAGCCAGTTATATTTCCTGAGAGAGCTTTAGAAATGCAGAATCTCAGGCCTGCATAACAAGATTCCCCAGATGGTCCCTATGCATGTTACATTTTCAGAAGCACTTTTCTAAAGTGGGTTGGTTGGTTTGGCTGCATATTGAAATTACTTGGGGAGCTTCAAAAACTACTGATGGCCCTATCCCCACAAATTCTGATTTAATTGGTCTGAGATATGGGGGAATTCTTACTTGTTACTTTCTTGAATTGTTACTCTTTGAACAATGTTCCTTATCTGTAAAATACAGACAGTGACAGCTGCCCTCACTACTTCATAGGAATGTAGAAGGGATCAAAATAAGATATTTAAAAAGCTTTATAAGCCAGGATTCATTGTGCGCAGATAAGGAATGATTACTTGTTGCTCCGTGCCACTAAACACACTTTAAAACCTTGACTCTTCTACATGCTCCTTTTTCTGTGGTGAGGAATTGGTCTGGATTCCTTCTGCTCTTTCCTTCTGAGCTACTTTCTTTCCTCCAAACCCGAGGCCTCCCTTGGATACACTTTCATTTAAACTCTTCACATCCTCACAATCTGGAGACTCTACCCCTTGCCCAGTCATTAAAGTAATTTTCTGGAGAAAATTGCTGCAAGAGAGCATCAGAAACAAAGGATTTTGGAGGGACAGACTACAAAATTTATTTGTAACTTAGGAGTCATCTAAATCTTCTGGAAAAAAAAAAAAAGCATGGGATTTTGGAGGCAGAATCAGAGTAAGAGTGTTAGAAGGTGGTTGGGAGAGAAGGGACTCCATCAGGGAACAAATTGTATTTTATTTATAGATACTTTTTTTTTTTTTTTTTTATAGAGCACTCCACTAATTGTTTTTTATATACTTCACATTTAATCATCATAACAACCCTGTAACCTAAGTGTTAAGAGGTGTTGCCGGAGCAGGCTGTTACCAGCTCGTGAGAGCTACTTGTGCATATCTATTCCCAGCTCACGTTGGTGGCTAGAAATTGGCCATGGTGAGAGTATTTACACTGCAGAAATTGGCAAATGGAGAGCTGATTGTTAAACATTTGCCAGTGCACCACTCAGTTATCCTTTCTTGTAAAGGAGGGAAACAGGATCAGCGAAGTTGAGTTGGCCAAGACTGCATGTATATGAATTTTAACCTAGATCTTGTAACTCCAAAACCAGCCTGCTGTTGTTAGCAGGGCTCTTGTGATACTTGAGTTTGTTTCAGTCAACTGAGGGCATCCAGAATCTAAACAGGAGAAACAGAGGCCGTGCCTACAAGACACCAGGCTCAAAGTACCCTTCTGTAGAGGAGAAAGGTGGGCTGGAGAGGGAGATATACTAATCAGGTAAAAATAAAGCCACACCTTGGAGGACAGGCTTAACTATTGTTCAAATCATTCCTCTTTAAGAAAGTCTTTTACATTTAAGGTTTTTTTTGGCTGACTCCTGTCTTTCTTAGAAAAATTGGCCACACTGACCCACAGTAATCTCAAGTTTAACTGGGGATTTACTCTCCCACCCTGAACAGGATCTTGAGACACAGGGATTTTGACAGGAATTGCACTGAATGTGTGGATCGATTTGGAGAG